GGGGGGGGGGGGGGGGGGGGGGAGGGAAGAATCCTCTGGACTGAGGGACACCCTCTGGATGGGGGAAACCCTCTGGACAGGGAGAAAAACTTCTGGATGGGGGGAAAACCCTCTGGATTGGGGGGAAAACCCTCTGGACGGGGGGAAAACCCTCTGGACGGGGGGACAGGCACCCAGCGCCGCCCGCCCCCCGCGGCCGCACTCACTGGGCGCGGAGCCGGTAGTCCTTCTTCTTCTCCAGCAAGCCCAGCTTCGTCCGGGCGGCGGGCTACGGGAGAGACGGGGAGCGTGAGGGAGACGGGGAGCGTGAGGGGGACGGGGAGCGTGAGGGGGAGAGCGCCGGGAGGGAGCGGGGAGGGCCCGGAGCGGCGGGCCCGGGGGGAGGCAGCGCGGAGGGCTCCGCCAGGGGCCCGGCCCGGCTCACCGACCTGAGCCCGCTCGCGGTGCGGGCGCTGCCGCGCCTTGGCGGCTTTCCTGAAGGCGGCCGACATGGCTGCGACGGCGGCCCCGAGCGCCGCGCCGGGCCGCGCGTGCGCGCGCGCCGGAACGGGCGGGGCCCGGCCCCGGCGGGCCGCGCGCGCCCCCGCCTGGCGGCGCCGTGCCCGCGGCGGCGGCGGGGACGCGCGCGCGGCGCCGGGCGCGGCCCCGCCCGACCCCGCGGGGACCCCCGGGCATGAGCGGGCGCGGCCGCCGGGACAGCCCCACGGGGCGAGCGCTGCCGGCCCCTCCGCCGCCGCGCGGAGCCCTCCCGGGGAGCTGCCGCTCCCGCCCGCGGGAGGCGAAGCGCCGCAGCCGCCGCGCGGGGACGGGGCTCACCCCGCGGGCGGAGCGGCGCCCGGGGCTGGGCGGGCCCGGCCCCGCGCCGCCCCCGGCCCCGCCCCGGGCCGGGCTCCGCGCTCGCGGCTGAGGAGCGGGGCGAGCGGAGCCGGCTGTGCCCAGCGCCGGCACCGAGAGCGGCAGCGCGGCCCGGGACGGCACCAGGTGGGTCGGGCCGGGGCGGGGAGCGCTGCCCGTGCGGCCCCGCAGCCCCGGGGGTGCCCTGGGCGGCTGGAGGGAACGCACCGCGTCCCCGGTGCCGCCTGGGCTCGGGGCATCCCCCGGGATGCCCGGTCACGGCGGCGGTTCGGGCACGTCGCTTGCCGGAGAGCTCCGCTCCGGCAGCGCGATGCACGCCGCTCTCCAAAAGGAGAGAACCACAGGGCCGTGCCCCTTTGCCAGGCGGCCAAGTTGAGAGCTTGAGCAGGGTTTTGTGATGAGTACTCAGGGCTCTTCACAAGTACCGAGACTTTACTCGATGGACAGACTCGCGAGTAAACTGCAACCAAAGGCTCGAGTGTAGCGCAAGAAAATTTTCAGCACATCTGGAGTGATTGCTGTTTTTCCAGAGAATCCCAGGGTAGCTATGGGAGAAGACTCTCAGCCTTGCTTTTGTGTGTGTGTGCTAGACAAAGACTCGGAAGTCACAGTTTGGCTCTCACATTATAGCTCAGGATCTTTGCAATTTTCTTTTTCCTCAACACAGTTATGTTTCAGATTTTGTTCTCTTACAGGTAACTTTTTATTCTTTTCTTTATCCGTTTCCAGTTCTGTACTTGTGGTTACCTTAACCACTGACACTTTCATGAGAATTCATGGGAACGTTGGATAAACTTTTCCAGTTAGCCTGGGTGAAGCATGGTGGGAGGAATTTCTCTCCACAGACTTGCAGCACAAACGGATGGCATGTGCCAGGGTTACGTATCTTCATGGGGCAGGATTTGATACTGAGGTCTCTTGACTTAGATCCAAACTTGCTATGTTCAATGTTTCCCAGTTTTGAAGACAATAAAGGAATCCTTCCAAAGTAGAAAATCTATTCCTAGGAGCAGAGGAAAGGGCAAAGCTCTGGTGGATGCAGCATCCTGGTGGCAGCACAGGCTTCTAGGGAAGGATATAGGGACATTCCTTTTACTTTTCTGACTCTTCTACCAAGCATCAGAAATCTGTGGCTCTCCTAGCTGCCCAGGTGTTAAAGCTGCCTTATTTCCCTGATTTGCTTTGTCAGTATGTGGTTTAACTTCATGATAGGCAAAGAGGAAAGAGGAAGTCTGACATTTCTCCTATCTTAGTTTTGCGCCATTCTCTTTCCTTTTTCCTAACATGGAGACTGTGTTGCTCCCTTGCTTTTCTTGCTGACCACTTCCTTTGAGGCATAGAATTGTCAGCAGTAGTTTTATTCTTACCCAGCTCAGCCTGTAATTTTGCACACTTTTTAAAATGGTGGCATAGCACAGGAGACAAAAATATTGGTGATATGGTTAGTTGTGGGTACTAATTATGGCAGATGCTCTACAGCAAAAGGTATGTTTTGGAATAAGAACCCCATAAACCTGTGCATAGGGAGTGGTGGGGCACACTGAAGGCAGGGCAGTGTTTGGAAACAGCCAGAATTCCCTAGCAGGGAGGCCCTGTGAACTGTTCCATGACCTCAGTTTCTGGAGCATCCCTCTGTCTCTCTGTCTTGGATTTTTTCAGATGCCTCTTAGGGTAAAATCTGTGCTTTTGCCCTGCCTGCAGAACGACATCTGAAGAGCTGAGTGGTGAGGAGGGTGCTGAGGGTCACTGTGGTTCCCAGTCTTTGGGAGAACAGGAGGTGGCTGCTGCTCCTGCAGCACATCTACCCTCAGCTCAGCTCCTGGTTTGCACTGTTGTTTCTTCTAGAGAAGGTGCTGGAACAGCCCTGCTGTCCCAGAACACAGCTGGCAGTAGGATAACTCACCTTTCCCAGGTCACCCTATCCTGGGGAGGAAAGGCAGGAGTCTCTTTCCTGGCTGGTGTCATCATGGTGTCCCTGATGACACATGGGTTGTTGTCTGTAGTGTACCAATCTTGTATGACAGTAGGAAGTATTCACTGGTTGTCAGTTGATTTCTGAGGGGTATGAGTTTAGCCATGTTCTTTTCTGGCTTTGGACATAGCAGCTTCAAGACTGAAGTGAACCCTTAACTGATGGAGCCAGAAAAAACTTCCCTGCAGGCAGGTTACCAAAATTCCCAGTGCACCAACTTTGGAAGCACTGTATTCTGTTCCCAGCCAGGACTTGCTTGCTCTATTGCTTGCCTGATGAGGTAAGGTGCTTTCTGCTGTGTTCCTAATTGCAGCTGAGTTTCTGCTGTTACACAGTTGGCTGGTGTTTGAAATGCCAGCAGAAACGTGGAAAAATTTGATTATTCTCAATACCCAAAGTGTTTCCAACGCCCTCGCCCTTAAAAAGGAATTTAATGATAATTGCAGCACTGATGCACAAGGTTTCCTTGGTGGTGCACCAGGATCCTCATTTATGTCTGTAGGATTTTTGCTGCCTGTAGCTTATGTGAGGCTGTGCTTGATGAGCCACAGTTGCAGCAGCAACCTCAGGAGAGAGACAGGAGTTAAACCTTGTCGCTCTGCTTCACCTTTTGTGTGATAAAGAAGTTACCCAGAAAACTGGGGTCTGCCTGATCTGAATAAAAGCCAAACCTCTTAACAGGGCAAACAGCTCCAAAATGCCTTTTAATTGCTCAAGTAAGAAGTCATTTCTCCTCTGGTGTTCAGTACTCTGGTTGACATGTGCTGTTCTCCGACTGCCTGTGCCCAGGTGCTCTGGCAGGAAGGTGCTGCCATTGATGTTTACAGTTTTGCTCAGAGTGCAAATGGCTCATTCCTTAGGGAGCTTTGCTTCTGCTGAAATAGGTGCAATTTCTATGGCCAAACTGGAAGAATTCAGAGAAAACTTCATAGTGTTTTGCCTTGGTGATATCATCAAAATCAATTTACTCAGGTGGGAATTTTTTCAGAAGGAGGGGATAGCTGTAGCCCTAAATACCAGTTGTATCTAGGAAAGGGAGAAGACCAGTTGTTAGGGGACAGATAAAATTTATCAGTAGTACTTAATCTTCAAATTACTACAGCCAGGAGCTTTAGGGCGACTTTTAACGTGAGGTTGGGGGCAGAAGGGCCAAACTGCACAGGCTGTTTTGGTTTTGTGGCTGCTCTCTGGGAAGCTGCTGCCATGGGCACCGTCCTGCAGACACCAGCGAGGAGAGGGCATTTCCCACCAAGGCTGGGGTGTGTTTACTGGACTCTGTCTGCTCTGAGGTGGGAAAAGGAAAATACTTCATTCTGTGGAGATGTAGTTGCTGAGAAAAGTCCTTGGTCTTTGTTTCTTCTCTTCCTTCCGTTTTGCTCTGGTTTTACCAGGTGTAAAATACAATTGTCAGCAGTTTACACAGAAGGGGAATGTCAGTTTTCCTGTTGAAGAAAATATCAAGGGTCTGATTGTGAAAGGAAAGGGGAAATTGAAGAATGCCACATGGCTTCCACCTTCCTGTATTTCACCCCAGCACAACTGCCTCTGCTGAGTGACCACTTTGTCTGTTGATACTTGCTAAATGGAGAAAAATTTTAACAAATTATTCTGCCCATACTGAGAGGGGCTCACCAAGAGAGTAATATTACTCTGGGAGAAAGCAGAGAGACACCTTCATTAGGGCTAAATTAATAATTAAGAATTATTTAGTAATGTCTTAACACAGCATCCAAAGAGCAATGGAACAAAAATCCTGAAATTTACATTCTTGTTCTTAGTCTAGTGTCACTTTGATTTGATTTGGCCTGTGGTCATCTGATTATTGATATGAATTAATTTAATTTATTTGCCTCTGAATAGGTTACTGTAGATTGTCCCACACTTGCAAACTGCAGTGTTCTTTTATATGAAGTATTTTGAACTTCCCAAGTTCAAAAAAAAAAAGTTACTAAATCAGCAGCATGGATAGATATTCATTCTGGACCCTTCTGTTTGGTGTCATGGCTGGAACAACAGTTTGTTGATGTTTATGGCCAATCTGCCCAGTGCCACTTCTGCTCAGAAATATAAATTATCTTCCAGCACCAAGCTGGTGCTGATGCCAAGGACATGATCCTGACTGCTTCCTAATTTAGCTTTGAACATCTGAGCTGTGAGGAATGAGGAATGTGCTGCATCCAACCTGGAGCTGTTGGCGGCCGCCGATGTCATGAATCCAGTGAGTGGAGAAGCCAGCGCAGGTGACTGGACAGCTGGAGCTGTTTTCTCTACACAGGAGGGGCAAAGAGAACTCTGAATAGCTCAAGGAAATGCTTGCTGGTGTTTGAACAGTCAGAGATCTGCTTCCCTAGTGCTTCCTCCAGCACATGTTACACTTGACCCTGCCAGCGCTCCACGCCAATAGGAGTCAAGTCTTTGTCCCCAGTGGTAGATTAAACTGCTTGGCCATTGTTGTGAGTCCAAGATTTTCCTCTCTCACCCTGTTTAAATGACTGCTTGGATGTTGAGCCAAAGTAAATATGAGCTAATAAAAACTAGAGATAACACATTCAGACTAGTTGTTATGGACTAACTGTAGCACAAAGAGGCACAAGTTTTGCTGGCAGCTTTTCTGTTTAAGTTTGCTTAAGAACTCAAATACCTGAAAAAGATTTGGTATGGATCAAGTATAACTTCCTTTATATTGCAATAGGGGAACTGTATCTGTTTCATGTGTATCTTCAGAATA